GCAGAGTCTTGATCTGAGGAGTTGGCCCTTCTGTGTTGAGCCATGCGTTTGTGTCGTGGTTGTTTAGTCTCCCCAATATACAGGTCTGCATTCCTCACTGCATTGGACCGCATACACTAGATTGCTTTTTGTGTTTGGGTGTGCGGTCTTTGGGGTGGACCACATCTGTCTTAGTGTGTTCTTGGGTTTAAAAAACCCGCGATGTTATGTTTGTTGAAAATCCTCCTGAGTTTCTCTGATACTCCAGACACGTATGGAATCACAAGGGAACTTTCTCCTATTTAAAGATTTGTTGCTAACCATGTTAGCTTTTGTCCATCCCACATTTGAAGACTGTGACTCTTTCTGAAGGACTCTTAGGTAGAAAGATTTACTGCAGGACTTTTCCTCTTGCAGCCAAAGATCATGAGCTTCCTGTTATATCCCCACTGGTCAACCTGCTCCTAGGCCTTTCAATTTGACAAAACATCTGTTCTTTCCTTCTCCTCCAGATGGCGCCATTGTCATTGAAAAAGGGCCATCACGTTGTAGAGGACTGGAATAAAGACTGAGCCTTGGGTTTTTTATTTTCAATGTCAACCGTGTTGAAAACAATAAAGACACAGAGACTCACATTTCGCTTTCTTATTCGGTCTTATCAGTCATGCAAAGCAAAAACACGATGCTACTGACAGAATCTTAGTTTCAGTATTTTTATTAAAACATGTTGTGCTGTGTAAATAACACTTGTACTGTGCATGTCCCCGTATTTACTTTACAATGACTCTGTTTTGACTCTGAGAGTTTGAACAAAGGTACAACAAAAAAAGGCAAATGGATGCTGATGGGTCACATTAACATAAAAGAACAAAAGGAGGTCTTACACAAAGACATATACTTTTAGCACTTAGCTCAAAACACCCAGTTCACAATGGCAATGAAATGAAAAATTAGGCTACAAAAGGAGGACAGCACCCATAAGCTTACAAAAGTAGATATTACAAAACAACAAGGCAAAGGCAGGCATGTAAGAAAAGCAATCTAGTAGTTAGCCTGCATTACTAACAAATAACTGCACAAATCACAAACAACAGTGAAGTGCATCCAGTAAGTGGCCAGTGTCATCTCCAGAGGGACCACTCCTCGACGGGGATCCACAAATAGACAGAAACAGCAAAAGTTAAATTAATATGGACTAACAGCGACCAACAGCGGTCGTAACACTCCCCCCTTAAAATTAAAAGCTCCTTGTAGCGGCTTGACGTTAACGGTACGTAACATTCACAGATCAGCTCTACAGTCTAGACAAAACATTTGTAATCACATTTGCAGACCCCATTTCATGTTGGATATCGAGGTTAAAGACTTGTACTTAGAGTGCCCACTCATGAGCCGCTGGTTATTAAACATATGATACAGGAAGAGAAGTGGATTGTGAACAGTAAACACAACAGACAGAGAAGTAGTTCCAACATAGACTTTGAAAGGCTGTTGCACTAATAACAGAGCATGGCTTTCAATTCAATTTCAATTTTATGCAGCGCCAGAAGGTGTCAGAGGTCGCACGCCTGTGGAGCAACTAGGGGGTTAAGTGTCTTGCTCAGGGACACATTGGTGTCACAGTGGGGAGATAGAGAGAGGGAGAGAGAGGAACAGAGAGAAGGAGAGAGCCATAAATAGGGATGGGGGGCAGCCTACACAATATACACAGAGGTACAGACAGTAAGGGTAATCTTGGTACAAACTGAATGAATAATGGTACAGATATTTATAGTAATGTTTATGATCATAATAACAGTAATAATAGCAATAGGATTAGTGCTCAGCTCAGTGCATCATGGGAAATCCCCCGGCAGTCTAGGCCTATAGCAGCACTAAGGGATGGTTCAGGACTCACCTGAGCCAGCCCTAACTATAAGCTTTATCAAAGAGGAAAGTCTTAAGCCTACTCTTAAATGTGGAGATGGTGTCTGCCTCCTGAACCCAAACTGGAACCTGGTTCCACAGGAGAGGAGCTTGATAGCTGAACGCTCTGGCTCCTAGTCTACTTTTGGAGACTCTAGGAACCACAAGTAACCCTGCATTCTGGGAGCGCAGTGCTCTGGTGGGGTAGTAAGGTACTATGAGCTCTTTAAGATAAGATGGTGCCTGACCATGAAGAGCTTTGTAGGTAAGAAGAATGATTTTAAATTTATTCTGGATTTTACTGGAAGCCAATGCAAAGAAGCTAAAACAGGAGAAATGTGATCTCTTTTCCTGGTTCCTGTCAGAACACGTGCTGCAGCATTCTGGATCAGCTGAAGAGTCTTAATGGACTTTTTCGAGCAGCCTGATAATAAGGAATTGCAGTAATCCAGCCTAGAAGTAACAAATGCATGGACTAGTTTTTCTGCATCATTTTTAGACAGGATGTTCCTGATTTTCGCAATATTACGTAGGTGAAAAAAGGCGGTCCTTGAAATTTGCTTAATGTGAGACTTAAACGACATGTCCTGATCAAAGAAAACTCCAAGATTCTTCACAGTGGTGCTGGAGGCCAAGGCGATGCCATCAAGGGAAACTTATCTTTAGATAATGCGTCACGGAGGTGCTTAGGCCCCAGAGCAATAACTTCAGTTTTATCTGAGTTTAACATTAGAGGTTTGTTTCTATCTAAATGGGGCTATAATAATTTGCTAGGTGTCGGCTGAACGTGACACATGTCCACACATAGGCTTATTTGGTGCCGAGTAGACTGGTCTGACTGGCACTGGTCCAGTGCTGCTGGATGCAAAAAAATTAATGGCCACGGCTTTTTTGCCAAACCTGAGCTTGGAACGCAGCAAAGACTAGTTTAGCTGGTGTTACGGCCCACTGCTTCCACTGTCGGCTCTGTGTGCACCTGTACACCTATGCCATTATGCACATAAGACAGACACCTGGCCCAAATTTGAAACATGGCGGTATGAGGTTGCGCCAACTGATTTTTGGCGGAAAGTGTGTATTTTCTTGTGAAGAAATTAAGAAAGAAAGACGTTACAACAAACAGCTGTCTTTGTGATCTTTATTAAAAGTAAGAATTACAGATGAATCAGCTGAAGGGCAGAGCTCATACACCAGAGGGCTGTTAGAGAGTCTGACCCAGAGAAACAGAGAAGACGTTTAATGCTAGAGAATAATTGGAGAGTCCAACAGAAAAGCCTTTCTCAGCCTTGAGCCACAGTGGAAACTCCTTTCATACAGGAAAGCATGAAACAAAACAATCTCACAGAAGGTCATTATATCAAAACACTGGTACACTTAGTGGAAATTATAACACCATATAAGATGAGCAAAGAACATAAAGTAATGACATATAGAGGATTATTAAAAGTACAGACAGGTAAAATCTTTGTTTCTATTACAGTTCCCCCTTCGGCCGTCACATGGTCACATTAAGTTTATAACAAACTTTTAGTTCATCAATGAATGCTCTCATCTTACTGTGTAAGCACATCATTAGTAGACAAAAGAAATGAGCTTTGGCAGTTTTTGTAGCAGAGACATTCTTGAGTAGTGAGCAAGCTAAGAGATCAAAACATTTAATTTAAGCAGTTTGGTCAAAATCATCAATGTTGTCATTGTCATGATCAGGTGGATTCAATCAG